ATTCAACACCGGTTGAAAGGTACCTGCACTTACCTTTGGTCAAAAACATTTATTGATGAATATCTGCATAAGCATTTCCAGTTTCAGTATTTTATGATGGGTGTTTCCAGGAGCATTTTCTAGTATTCTCTTGAGAGTTTCATTTTCATCAAGTAGTTCTGCATGCATGTGTGTGTTTGTCTAATTCTTGCATCATTCTTTTACTTTTGTCCTTTGCTGTATTTTTTTATGAATCCTTAGAATCTATGTTCAGATTTGAGTTGATGTTTATTTTCATGGGTGTGTACTTGTTGAGACTTTGTGAGCATATTCCAAGTGTATGTGGGTACCCATGAAGGCTGGAAGAAGGGCTCATCAGTTCCAATCTCCAGGTCCCACAACATCAGAACTGACTCTCAAGGCCTGTCCTCTGACCTCTGCGTTCACCCTGCTGTGGTGATATTTATGATTTATTAAAGCTAGCCACAAGCCACAGAGCCAGGCAATGGTGATGTACATCTTTAATCCTAGCAGTACGAAGTACAAAAGGAAGAACCAAAGGAGAGTTTTATTCTCCAGCCAAGCTGAGGACAGGATAGCCCTTTTGGTCTGAGATAGAGGTAAGAGCTAGTGGCCGGCTGCTTTGCTTTTCTGAGCTTCAGCTTGAAGCTTGGACCCCAATATCTGTCCCTTGGTTTTTATTATTCACTTTACACTCTGTTCCACTTGAGCATGCACACAGACAGACTGACAGACGGACAGACACACACACACACACACACACACACACACACACACACACAGAGTGGGGCTTGAGTTACAGGTGGTTGTGAGTTACCCAAGGTCTGGTGTCTTCTGGAACAACAGCAGGTGCTGTCAAGCGTTGAGCCATCTGTCCAGCCCTGGTCAGCATACTTAAAATTGCTTCATCGTTTCCCAGAGTTCCTGAGCTAAACTTATTCTTTGTGTAGATTACAGGAATGAATCTATTATGGAAAACAAAACCCTTCTGGCAGTGAAGAGAAAAATGATGATCACATTTCCCTGGGCTTCCCTTTCCATGTGGCCCTGCCTACCACACTTTGTTCCCAGTTTTCCTGGTGACTTCTTTTTTAATTGTTCTTCGAAATGATATCAGCCTGATGGATTTTGCAAAAATATTACACTGTGTGTGTGTGTGTGTGTGTGTGTGTGTGTGTGTGTGTAGGTCAGTGGTTGACACTGGGTATCTTCTGTCAGTCTTTTATTCCAGACAGGATGTGAGATTTATTACTGAACATGATTTGGTAGGGGAGATAGAGCACCACAGTAGAAGACCTCAGCTGTGCAGGGCCCACCAGTTTCTCAGGGATCAAGATTAGTGATACATTTGACCCCACAGCCATCAGGGATGAGCCTCTTCTCAACAACCATGTCTTCAGATCAATCTGCATTCAACTTAGTGAAGCTGCATCTCTCTGAGATGTGTGGGGAGAGAGAGAGAGAGAGAGAGAGAGAGAGAGAGAGAGAGAGAGAGAGAGAGAGGAAAAAGAACTCAGTGAGAAGGAAGAGAGCAAAAAAGTGAGAAGGAGGGGCCCAATAACACCACTTGCCTTCTGCCAGCCAGGGAGCTTGAACTTGGCTTTACATAGGGATTCCCATCAGATGTTCATTATTCTCAAGTGTGAGTCAGGTGGACGTGATGGCCTGGCCAATGAGAACCCTGGCCATGGTGACCCGAGACTTTCCTAAGGCAACACGAATACCTGACTGGAGCCTAGACTGGGGACAACATTGAGATCAGACACTCAAAAAGCCATCAGAAAATTGTCTTCAAGGTCACTTGGGGTAGCCCATGTAGATGACAGGATAAATACACTCCAAAGGAGACAGCAACCATTGCACAGCAGGAACCCGTGAGGAAAGGGACCTACCTGATCATCTTAATTGGCTACAGATTTACCTTATGTTTTAAGATACAGCCTCTCGGTGAACATGGAACTCACTGATTTGGTCAGGCTGAGTGGCCAGAGAGCTTTGGGGATGGATCCACTAGTCTCTGTCCTCCACCCCAGACTTGCTAGCTCTGGGGTTTAAGAATATTGCTGTACCTAGATTTTTCATGGGTACTGGTGATCTGAATTCAGGTCCTCATGTTTGCATGGTAAACACTTTACCTACTGAGCCATTGTCTTTGCCCATCTTTAATTTTATAGTCACTAACATTAGTGTTACAAATGAATGGCATTTATGGTACCATTTCCTCCCATGTACATATGTGCACAGATGATGTGCAGCCTCACCATGCTTATACCTTCTCCCCCACTCTGAGATGTTACATCTCACAGAACACTTCACAGTCTATAACAGTCGTACTTTCTGGCCCATGGTTTCTGTTTTCATTTTTTTTTCAGCTTTCATGTATGAAATGAAACAGAACTGTGCCACTTGGTGTATTTCTCTTACATTGTATAATGTCCTGTTGCATTCATTTGCCTGTGGAGAACAGGCTTTCCTTTTCTTGTCTCTTGAGTGAATGTGCTATGTAATTTGTGTGTTATATAATATATACTGTATATGATACAGCATTTTTCTTCATGCCATTATGTGCTCATGGCCACCCGGGATACTTACTTGAGCTTGTAAATGTCTCCTCTAACTAGAAGGCCATGTGTCTTGGTTAGCCTAGGTTGTCAACTTGGTTGGATTGACCGATGCCTACAGTAAAATTAGGGAAGCTCACTTCTGGTGTGCCTGTTCCAGCATCATTTTCAGAGAGGACTGATTTACAGGAGAGTAAGAGGGGAATGTCTCTCTCTGGATGTGGATTCTCCAAGCAGTAGTCTGGGAGCCCAGGCAGAATTCAAGAAAAGGAAAATAAGCCTGCCTGGGAAGCCTAGTTCCATCCTTCCTGAGGTAGTGCGTGTAGCACTGTCATCATCACCAATGGCCACCAGAATCCAGAGCCTTCAGCTGTCCAGTGAAGATGCACAGCAGCTACACACCAGGGAGCTTCCAGGCCTGGATTGGGGCTGCAGCATTTGTCCTCCTTGAGCAGAGGCTCCCAGCTTGTCAGTTTAGCTAATATGAATTAGCCTGCTCTCCAGCATGCAGAAAGTCATTTTTGGACCACCAGCACCCCAACTGGGTAAGGCATTCAATGAATTTCACCCCCCACCCTGTGAACATGTGCGTGCGTGCGTGGGTGTGTGCGTGCGTGCGTGCGTGCGTGCGTGCGTACATTTTTCTATTGATTCTGGTCACAAAGAGAATCATGACTTACACAGGGTTTTCTCTTAAGCTGGTAGTTGCCAAGATTTCATATATTGTCAGCTGTGATTTCAATGTGCCAGGTTATTTTTCTTCCCTACCCACAGTTGTGCTAATTCTAGAGAATCACTCTACTGCAAAGCAGTACTTCCAGCCCTCAGTCACCCTGGCATTGAGTAGGCTTTCCATCCTCAACAACCACCTCTGCTTCGGGTTTGTCATGGACAGGCATTTGATCCTATTAGTATTCCAGGGATACTGTCACTGCCTTCCATATTTGTGTGCTTTCCTTTATTGCTGTCTGCATATACTATTCCAAAGAACTTGTGCTCAAGCTCTGATGTTTCTCCTCTTGTTTGGTCTATTCTGTTCTCAGTGCTTTCCAATGAGATTTTAAAACCTGACCTATTCAGGCATTTTGGAACTGTTACTCACTTACTTGTTTTTCTCCCTTTTCCTGCAGTGCTGCGGAATCAACTCAGAGTGTCAGTCAGAGTAGCTAGGCAACCATTGTACCACTGAACTACACTCCTGGCTGAACTGTATAGTTTGTTTCAAACCAGAGTTAATTATAGATGATGTTTTTTTCTTTATCTTGCTTTTCTCATTCCTTTCCTTTGTGTTGACCTTTTATATAATTATTTAAAAATAATTATATAAAATATACCAATTCATGGATTTCATGGTGGTAAGTTGTGATCATGCTCACATTCACACTTCAACACTTGTTTGTACCTTCTCTTTCCTTCTTATCTCTCCCCCATCAGGTTCCTTTCTCTTGCCTTAGAGGTCTCTGTTCATGGGGGTGGTGAGTTCTTCCCTTCCCATGTCAGGATGACCTTATGCTCATGGCTCCACAAACTTAAGTGGAAACAGCGTATTGTAGGAGGCAGAATGAAGAAGCAGCTAGGAAAACCCAGCCCTGTGTCCTCAGGCAGACCTTGAAGAGAACTGCCAAAATGGAAAGGGGGCTTTTAGTTTCTACTATTAATTTCAACCTCAAAGACAGGATCACCTTAGATGGTGCATTACTACTCATAAATTGTATTAATAAGATTTTAAATGAGAAGTACAAAAGTGAGATGGTGATTAAAGACATTCTTCTGTATTCTGCTTGATTTTTCTATGCAATATATGTCTTTTAGTAATACAGCCTCATAGGGTAACTAAATTCAGCTGTGTTTCTGAGCGGTGAGTGAATTTGACTCTTTATGTAAGTGCCAAATTATAGTTGGATTTGATTAAGCAGAATAAAATGCATTTGCACCCCAATGAATTTTCTGGCTGTTTAAATTTAAATGTCTCAAGGAGTTGGTCCTGTAATAGATGACTGTGTTCAATGTGATAGGAAAAAAGTTCATCTTACATTGATGATAATGCATGAATTTACTGGGCCAGGTTCACTATTCTTGTGTACTGATATCCTGGGTGGGACAAAGTTGAAAGCAACAAAATAGTTGTCTACATAACTCTCTGATGGTAGTGTATATATCATCCTCATTGAGTGTATTCTTCCAAAAGATGAAACAAAGGGCAATCTATTCTTGGCAGGAACACAAACACGTGTGGAGTATTTATGAAATAAGCAGACTCATTGTCTTCAGTTACACTGCTGTTGGCGAGCCCAGCAGGCTCCAATGGACAGTCCCAAACTCTTGATCCAATGGATGGGCCTCGATAAACTCAGTCGGGACTTTGGTGTAATATCTCAGTAGTTAAGAACACTTGCTCTGTGAGTATGAGGTCCTGAGTTCAAAGCCCCAGCACCCATGTAGAAATATAGATATGGCTGCATGTGCCTGTAACTCTAGAGTGGGAGACAGGTGAATCCCAACAGGGCAGTGACCAGGCAGCCTAAATGAAACATCTGGCTTTTGGTTCATTTGAAAGACCTTTCAAGGTGATAAATGGCAAAGCTATAGAGAAAGCCATGCGAGGTCCTGCTCTAGCCTCTGCATGCACATTAGACATGTGCGTAAGCACACTATACGAACATGTGAGAAAAGAAAACTCAGTGGGTCAGAGCACAAAAGGTCATGAAAGAGGGAATGGAATTTGCAGGGGACTTTGGGGCTGAAAGGAGATACAGGGAGATACAAGCAGGTTGGATGAGAGTATTCAGAACATGCCAGGAATTGTCAAAAAAAAGAAATAAAAAAAAAAAACCAACCCCAATTTAACAGACAGTGATTCTTCTTGAATTGTGCAGAGGTAAGATGTGCGAAGTGAGTTCTGGAGGAAGAAATACTGTTAAGACCACATAGTCTACATCATTGTCCATTTTTCCCTTGGAATATTTTAATTGCCATTTCATCATCCTCCATCATTAGTGTTATCGAGAGCAAGTCAATTGTGCTTTGGAAGCACTTTCTTCACATTGTGATGGAATATCTCACTGTTCATCACTGTCATTTGTAGGCAGAAACTTTATCTAGACTATTCTCTTCAGATTACAATTTTGAATATGAAGTTAACCCTGGATGCAGATTGTGGTGGTTGGGTAAGATTGTCCACCATAGGCTCATATATTTGAACACTTAGGGAGTGGCATTAATTGGTGTGGCCTTTTAGGAGAAAGTGTGTCCCTGGAGATGGGCTTTGGTGTTTCAAATGCTCAAGCCAGGCGCAGTGTCACTCTGTTTTTCCTGCTACCTGCCCATCCAGAGGTAGGGCTCTCAGCTCCTCCTCCAACACCAGGTCTGCCTGCAAGTCTCCGTGCTCCCTGCCATGATGATAATGGACTGAACCTCTGAGATGGTAAACCAGCTCCAATTAAATGATTTCCTTTATAGGAGTTGCTGGGTCATGGTGTCTCTTTGAAGTAATAAAACCTAAGACAGAGATCAAGTCGAGAAACAGACAGAAAAACTCTCTTAGCATCAGGCTTAGCATCTGAGGAGTCCATTGTGCCAGAGACTGAAGTGGTAGGGCTTTATGCAGTGGTTCAGGAGGGAAGGTAGATGGTATGGGCTTAGAGGGCCAAGAAGGATGGTGGATGTGGCCATCTTCTCTGGATTGCTTCTATTCTGGGGAGAGATGCTAAGACGATGGTTGGGGTACCAGCATGTTGGTGGTGGCAACAGGCAGAGCAGGTGCTGCCTGGAGGGTGGGATAGAACACATGGGATTGTATCCTGAGAGGAGGCCCTTAAGGATCCTTGCACTGACAAATTGCAAGCTCGCCTGTTAGGAGGGGGGGGGTACCATGTAGCCTATGACAATGTAATCAGGAATGTAGAGTAAGAGCATTCAGAGTGTCTGTGGCAGAGCAGGTGGTGAGTTGGCTTTTAGGGGTTGATGTTCAGAACAGCCCAGAACCAGAGCCACGGTTTTCAGGAGCTAGTCCTGGTCAGATATAAATGTCCCCTTTACAAGAGGCCTGGCCACCTCCATGCTAAACCGCCAATTTAGTCAAGCACCCCACCCCTTAGGTTAGTGTTCGAGATAAACCACAGGAAAGTTCCCAACACCTGCTCAGGCCTGAGGGCATTTAACACCCATTCCTCCCCCTCCCTTACTTCCTCTTTCTTTACTTCCTCCTTTCTCTTTAAAAAAACCCCTTGTTTATAATCAATAAAATTAGACCTTGACAAGGACACTGCTTGGTCTGGCTTTTTTTTCTTGCCCATTTATTTTCAGGCTTAGTCCACCTCGGACCCACGAATTACCAGAACCCCGAGGGCCAGGG